AATTTACAAATTATATTGTTTCATTTAACAACCAACCAACTAACTAACTCGTTAATTCCCGTATAAAAAAAAGGAAATTATGCTAATCAAATTATAATAAACTAAAAAAAAAATTAATATAAAAAATTGTTTTGTTTAATTTAGGATGCTGTTTTTATTGACTGCTCTTTACTCTCTCTCGATAACCCAGAGACCTAAATTTTTTTTTTTTTTTTTTTAATGAATTATATATAAATTTTGTATTTTTAGTAATCGCGACATATATATTAAAAAAAAAAAAAAGGGAAAATGTTTACACACACACACACACACACTCGCAAACACATATAAAAAAATATATAAAAATTTAGAAGCCACACCTTTATGGGGATCGATAAAGTTTTTTTTTTTTTTTTTTTTACTTTTTATTTTTATTTTTCTAAACCGTTTTCGAAATAAAAAATAAATAAATAAATAAGTAAATGTTTTGAATTTATTTAAATACTTATCGAATGGTTATAAAAAAAAAAATTATTTAAATTATTTAAATACTACGTCGTCGTCGTCGTCCTATCTCATAAAATACAAAAGTTTAAGTAAGTCACGTTTCATTAAACGTGGGACCTAAAGAGAAAGAGAGAGAGAGAGAGAGAGAGAAAAACGTTTTTTAATTAATTAATAGAATATATGAAACATACAAAAATGATTATTATTATTATTATTATTATTTTTGAATTAATTGGATTGACTTTCATTGAAAATATTACAAAAAAAAAAAAAATTTTTTTAATTGTCAAATTCCGAAAGAGAGAGAGAGAGAGAGAGAGAGAGAGAGAGAGAGAGAGAGAAAACAAACCGTTTTCATTCGATTGTTTAAAAAAAAAAAAAAAAAACTTGATAATAATAATAATAAAAATAACCCATGAGTAAATCACGTACATATCGATTATTATTTCAACTTCCGAACGTTTTTCTTTTGTTTTCTTTTTTTTTTTTCCGTTTCCATCGGGAGAAAGGTTTATTATTATTATTATTATTATTTCTGTATTCGGGGGGGGCCGATTCATCCCTCACTAATTAAAATTTAAATTTTATTATTTTATAAATAGACATGAAAGAAAACATTTTCATTTGGTTTTTTTTTTTTTTTTTACGATGAACGAAAAAGTCAGATAAAAAAAAAAAAAATAAAAAAAATTTATTTTTTTTTTTTGTTAAAAAAAAAAAAAAAAATCTCAAAAAACGCATTATAAAACATTTCGATAAATAAATAAATAAACAATAAGAAAAAATATCTCAAACAAACAATGGGAAAACCTTAAAAAAAAAAAACTATTTGTTTTTAAATATTTAAAACTCACTACACGTCGATGCGGAAAAGATACATAAAAATAATTTTTTTTTTATCATTATCATTATTATTATTATTTAAAGCAGTCGAAAATATTGCATATATATTTATTCCATTTAAACAAATAAAAAAAAAAAAAAAGGGAAAACGGTCAGTTGAACTTTGCACATTTATTATATAAATAAGGCAGAAGATAATAGATGTAATTTATTCCAGAATAAATTAATTATTATTAACAATAATAATAATAATAATAATAATAATAATAATAATAATAATAATAATAATTAAAAATGCCACGCATAAAACTACGAGTCTAGACGGCAAAGAGCAAAATGATAATAAATGATAATATCACGAGGTTAAGAAACAAATACGAATTCGCATTATTATTATTTTCATCATTATTATCGCTATCATTTTTTACATTCATTCATTCATTCATTCACTCATTCATTTGAAAAAAAAAAAAAAAAAAAAAAACTTACCGTATTTATCATTGGCAATGTTTCCATTTGGTGTCAATCGATCTAATATTTCTTCCGAATACCCGTTTACTCCATAAGAAAGTTTGGCACCACGATAATTGGTCGAGTCATCAACTTCTTTTGAAATGGCTGGAAAAAATAAAATCAAAAATAATTATATTAAATTGAGATGTGTATATTTTAAATCATTCATTCATTCATTCATTCATTCATTTCAAAGGTGAATTTTATAAATTTCGAATTTTTATTAAATTTTAATTCGATACCGCAACAGATTCATTTGATTCATATCTCTCTCTCTCTCTCTCTCTCTCTCTCTCGCGTACGAACCGCTAAAATTTAAATATTCATTTAAAATTATATTCATTTAAAAGCGTCTATCAAAAATTAATTTCTCTTTCTCTCTTTCTCTCTCTCTAGTCAATTATAAAAGTTAAATAAAATTTGAAAGGAAAATAATAATTTTCCTTCATAATTTGATTTTGTATTTTTTTTTATGAATAATGTGTGTGACTTATTCAGAAAAAATTTTTCATCGTCATCACTTTTCCTTTAATGATACGCAACTAATATATAAAATCTATGTTATGTAACTAGAGGAGCGGGGAAAAAAAAAAGAAAAAAAAAAAGAAAACAATTCTTTGATTTTGTTTTAATTGCAATTAATAAATACAAATCTTAGTAGTACTAGTACGCGATCACAAATTTTTTTTTTAAATTTAATTTATAATAATAATAACAATAATAAATCTCAGCATAGTTTTCACATAAATTTTGTTTAAAATTTAAATTTCAATTTTTTTTTTTTTTTTATCCTTCACGTTTTCCGATTTCCCTCTCACAATTTTTCTCCTTTTCTCCTTTTCTTCTTCTTCTTCTTCTTTTTTTTATGGTTTTACTCAGTTAAATTTACGAATCCAATAAAAATATTTTATCATTTACAAGTAAAACAAACAAAAAAAAAAATTTTTTCTTTTTCTCTCTCTC